ACCCACCTCTTGTCAACATTTACATCTTTTACCCCCAAACCACCCCCACCCCCTTCACTCATGACATACAACAACTCAAAGAATCGCGACGCGTTTCAACAGCTGCTCCAGTACCGAGGCTTGAGTCTCCATATATAACAAGCAATAAAAAGGCATGCACTATCATTTATCATTGCACACATTATTAACCACTGCTGAAACAATAAGACCCACATCAAATGTTCTGCCTTTACCCATCACATCACTCACAAACGCAGTCCGAGAAAGCACGGCAGGTGCAATCACAGACACTACATACAGACATTTGACAAATTTTGATGCGGTCAAAAGAAGCCACGTTATCAGGCAAAACAAAGTCACCCATAACACCGGTCCTAGAATTTAAATCCCCAGCAATCAACCAGGGCAAGTTTCCATATTTTATATTAATCGTTTCCCACCATCCACTATACTGGTCAACACCCTTCGATAAAGTCTCACGATACACAGGTGAGTATTCATGGGGAATGTAAACAAAGCGGTCCCTCCTACTTTACAGTAAAAAAATAACAGTTTTATCTTATTTTCAAGACTGAACCCTCCCTCCCCCCACCCCCCACAAAAAAACTATGCTACCATAAATGTGACACATAAGCCTGAAAAGATAAGGTTCCAGTTAATCTCATATCAATCTCTAGGGTCAAGCAGCAAAGCGACGACGACAACGCTCCTCCCATATTCCCATCAGGACACAATACTCCCCAGAATCTGCACTATTAGAAATTGTTCCGTGTTCTTCGTCAAGAAGATCATTACCAGACTAAACCACCCTTTACCCCATCTCTCTCTGACTCTTCACTTCTAGCTGTGGCATCCTCTTCCACCCTCCTTTAAATATCCGAGGCAATGAAATGAACGTCTTAAATTTCAACTCATAGTCATAGTTAGTATATAGACCTGATATTTAGTAATATATAGCACAGTCATACTTCAGACAGACTACAACGGTACATACTTTTGTTTTGGGTAAGTATTATTCTAAATAAGAATTTTGTATGCGCAGTCAGACTCAAATTAGAGTGAGTAAAAAGACCTGATCTTTTTAATCTTCAATTTTTAACTTGTGAAATCTTTGACGCTTGTAACATTGCATATAATAATATGGACCTCAGATTTACACTGAATATTTTATCCTCTCTGAAAAAGACGTGGTACTCAATCCCAGCTACCAAGGGGGTGACGAGAAGTGTTACTTTTAAGTTATCCACCGAGTTAAGCCTGTATCAGGAATCGAAATGAGGTTTACAGCTCCATTTTTCCACATAATTATTATACATGATGTATATAGAGATGTAAAAATGAATTCCACAGCAGTCTATCTGTATCGCTTTCTGAAAACCTACAAAGTAGGCCCTGGAGAGCATAATCCCTGCCACTAATTAATCATATTATGAAACGAAAGAGTAAAGATAACCAGCATCATAGTCCATTATATGCCTATCTATTGTCAATTTCACACTACCTTCTCATCCATTTAGTAATTCTGAAAACCTTTTGCCCATCCTCTTTACCCACCATTTTCATTTATTGAGCCCCATTTACCTTACCTTTACAAATTAACCCCCCCCTCCCCCCTTTCCATTTTTCGTCTAGGTAGGAGTGGAAAATCAAAGGACAAATGACACCAAGTATTTTGCCATACACACACAAAAACTGTCAGGTGACAACCGTCAATGGCCACAAACACTCTAATCACTGCTTCCATTTCAACATTTTCTGATTCATTGCGCAAGAAATGGAAAGAGTATTTGACGAACATCAGATATAAATGTGGTTAGCACTCAAAGCAGTCCGCTGAAAAGCAAACAGAATCTCACAAATTTTTTTTTTTAAGAGGGAGATCAATAGACACTAGAAGCCAACGTGTTTCAAAAACAGTAAAAAAAAAAAAAAAAAAAAAGAAGAAGAGGAAAAAAACCCAAGATGAAATGGGACAGCTCTCTCATCGTACAGACCAGTTTACACAGATCTCTGTTAAAAGAATACACTACTATTGCTATGTAACAGGAGGGGAAATTTAAATAGACAGGAAGACATTGAGTAGGTGTATTATGCTAAACGAAATGCTACATGATCTCATGTGATAATCATGTTTTGGATTGCCAAGAATAGCTAACAATTGGGACATTTGTCTGTGCGTGTGTGCGTGTGTGCGTGCGTGTATGCGTGCGTGTGTGTGTGTCGTTATTATTGTGGCAGGCCTGTATCCGACGATAAAAAAAACGTTAATCTTGTGTACGTTACTCGCTGACAAAGCAAGCAAGGGCAATCCAGCCATTTCTTATATTGCGTGTAAGCTGTTTAACACACATGAGGTGTTTTAGTATTCAGCAATCATGTGACAACTCAGAGGAGACCGGAGGGAAAGAGAACTCTTGAAATCCATCTCATGGGTGGGTAGATCAGATTAATCATGTGACAGAAATAAATCCTGAATTGTTACAAAAAACTCTTCAAAATCCCACCATGATGATCATGATAGAGTAACATCGCTACACAGTATGGCTTCCAAAACAACCCCTTGACAATACGAAGTTGAATCTATATTGGACCTCATTTTATGCCTTTATAATGCTCCATGAGTATCAGCCTGGTGTATAGATGACACCCAGATGACCTGAATTTATGTCTTTTGGAGGGGTGGGGGAGGGGGGGGTTGTTTGTTTTAGTAAGAGTTTTACAGTTTTACGGCACTTGTAATACAATTGGGTAATAAATGTAGAAGAATTGATAGTTACAAGAGAGTAAAAAATCACAAAAAAAGGAGGACAGATTACAATGACAATAATAAATAAGACCAAGAGATGTAGAAAACAAGGAACAAACCACACCAGAGCACCTACCAACCACCCATAAATAAGTAATTATAAATCTAGTAAGGCTCTATTTATAATACTAATGAGAGATGGAGGGTTTTCTATGAGTACAGGAACTTGAGAGTGCACTATAATCTATGAGTGGTGAGAGCGTGGTATGACATGATGGGTAAACTGAGGATCTATAGCCAGAAAAAAATAAACTTAGTACAAGTTTGGAATATAATATTATATAAATACAGGAGAATTTAACCAGTTCGTGACCCTTGTAGTATGACGTTATTATATATATGGTACACTTTCCCTGCCAAGACAATAGCTGCACATGCAAATATGACTTCGAAATAATTAATTTCTTGTCTCTGCAGGAACCTTATCATGCCATTCATTGTATGGCATATATTATGTTTGTTGCTTTACTGTGTTTCTCAAAGAAAAGCTAGCTCAGAACAAAATTTACAAATAGAAGCTCAAGATCTTCGGATGCCGAAAATAGCACAAAACATGTAACTCTCTTAATTAAAAAAGTTAGTTCAAGTGTAAACCAGAAAAAATTCATAGAGTCTAGTGTAAACAAGGGAAAAAACAACATCACTCTACCTTCACATTTAAAGTGAACTGAAAGAGTAGGAATGAGATCATCGGTATCTTCAGATAACAACTGACGACAAACACAATTTAACTCTTTATCCTCTGCTAAACGAAATAACAAAACCTTTCTTTACTATAATTATACTATAATAAAAATCGAATATACACATAGAAGATTTCTGATTCACAATGCAGTGATGACAGGAGAACTTTTAACACAAAAGAAAACCTTGTAGACCACTGTCCTGGCAAGTGAACAGGGGCTCTGCCAAGGCTTGAAAAAAGGTACATGATCAGAAAAGGGAACAGAAGGGGGCAGAAGTTCCACTGCAGTGGGATATATTGTACATTTTATTCTTCCAAGGCCAGGTCATGACCTCGCACCAGTTTCACGGCAAGGGCTTTCAACATCTAAAATGGGCTGCTTGCCTGTTGTCACATGGTCCCCCATTAATACTATGAATGAGTGTTCATGTAAACAAAGAGGCCATGCAAAAGCAATTTAAGCGTTGAACGCATGACTTACTGTGAACTCAGTTTACTCAGTGGCAATACAAACTTTAAACTTTTCTGTTGCAAGACAGAAAATATCCGGGGAAGTATTTTGTCAATTCAGAAACTTCTAATTCTATGTGAAGTCACTGTGCCCTTCTTTTCAGTTTTCCACACCCACCCTAATTCAGTATGGGCCTATTTGCTTTCCCTCTCTCAAGCCTAACAGGTGCCATCCATTCGATTTCAAAAGAAAAACCTAGGCCTACTTTCTTGAATCCTCCTTTCTTTCAAGTGTTCACCAGCAGTAGTCAGGAAAACATGAATTACAAGCAGAACAACTAGTACAAACGGATCCTCTAGATGAAAGAACGACATTTCGGTACAAGACTACTTGTTTGAGAAGTATAAAGCTCATAGATCTTTGTCTGTGGGTTTTACAGAGTAGACAATACCCTTCAACTCAAACAAAAAGGTCAAAAAAAGAACCAAGAATCAAGAAGAGTTGAGGCTCAGTAGAGAGGCAAATAAGGAGGTTTGTTTGCCTATTTCCAAGTTAGTTAAAACTGGGGCCAGTACGAGCTACAAAGTCACTATGATGAGTCAGGTATCTTCCAAAATCCTATGCAAATAGTCAATAAAATATGAGAATATAGACTAGCCAAGCCTTCATATGAATATAAACTGATGATACTCCTTAAATTCATTCCTGTTCTCTTCCCTCCATTTTTTTCTCTCATGGGTGAATAAAAAACACTGAGCCAGAAAACATTCAAACAATGTTACATATTGGATGAATAAACTGTAACAAGCAAGTCCCAATCAGTCATTCAATAACATTACACACCACCTAGACATGTGATTCAAGCTTGTAAATTAAATATATAATATCCCTGAACAACAAAAATTACAATCTAATTTAAGACTTAAAGAGACTGTGGACTGACTTATATAAGAAGCAAAAACTAAAGGCAGTGATATAATCATAAGAACAACAAGAACAATTCAATTTATATATATATAACATCAGATCACTCTTTGGTTGTTGAACTGAGTACTTACTTTGTCACTTGGTATAAGCCGAGTGCCCATGATGAAAGTCTTCCAACAGATTTCCTTTTGCCGTACAGCAACAAGGGATCAAAAGGAATTCACGCCCTCAGTTGGTTATGTAAATCCAAACACTTCAATTTGCTGATGCTGGTGTGAGTTGTGATCTAAAAACCTTTAACTTTAAAAAACGAAGGCCCTGTCGCCCGTGTTTTAAATCTAGGAGAGGCGAGGCCCGGTAAAGTAGGCCTAAATGATAACAGTTGGGCAGATTTAGATCCTATATTACTAGGTCTAGATCTAAATATATAGATGTATCTTTGAACTTAGTCGATCTCAGACAATTTTAACCTCGTCGGCGACGTTGGCCTGGCAAGGGTGAAAACAAAGCTTGTCACAACTGAATTGTCCAAATCTAAAACAAACAGCTCTACACGACACTCACTCCTGTTGTGAAACAAAAGCAAAAAGGGCGTGTCCAAACAAAATTCTCTAGCTGCTTTGTCCACAGAGAAGCATCTAAATTTAAAGCTATGGCGAATAAATCAAAGAAAACGCTAACAAACGGGTCTTTGACAAAAGTGTCACAAATTGAGATCGACTGCCATCAGCTGTTCCTCTGGCTTTGCAAGTCCAGTGAGTCTTGCTAGCAGACAACACAGTGTAGCAAGCGATTATTCGTCTAATAAATTGGCAACTATGATTCACACAGATAAAACACAACACCAATCGGTTCAAACAGTCTGAAAAGACGTTCTGCTGAACGACTACGGAAAGGAGTTGACTCCAAAAGAATATAATAGCTGCAACTGAACGGGGGTATTCACAATCCCCACAGTTCGTTTCGGTTCCAAGGCAGCTTCAATGGCGAATGGAACAGAATTCTGGGAACATGACGTCACAGTTTCACTTCCGTCAACAAAATCGCACAGAGTTAGCAGCCAGGAAATAGCAGAGAGAACATGACAGGTCTCGCTCGCTCAGACTATTGAATCACTTGCATTTTCAACAAACTGGAAGTGTATGGTAAGTTAAGCATTAGGAAAAAACTAGAATATAGAGGCTTTTATTTTTGTCAGGGTCCTGTCTTGCTTTTTGGTCATCGATAGGCCTAACATAATTTGTCTACTCTGACTCTCATGCGCAACAAGCGAACACACTGTCCTCCATGATGCCGCCGATAGCCAGGCCATGAACATGGGAAGAGACACTGACTACACTAGGCCTAGGCCCTACTCAGTCTTACCTTTTGGTCAGGTCTTGCCTAGATCTTATCTAGATGTGAATTATAAAACTAGACTCACTACCTCTTATTTAGACCAGCATCCTGCGAACAGAAAATGACTTCACTCAAGTCTTGTTTCCTTCTTGTCATGATCATGAAGACATTGAAGAGAACAGTCTAATCACTGGTCACTGGGCTGCTTCAGCCCCTTGAAGATGAAATTCAATAGAAGTGCTTTTGGTGGGGGTTTTTTAGGTAAGATTGAAGAATACGGGACCAGCATCTACCGTTTATAATAAATGAACTACACTGAGAAGTTTTTCTTCACCGTGCTTTTATATTCAAACTTGGCTGCTTACCTATGTAGTTCACACCTTTCATATTATAAGATTTTAGAAAGTGGCTATTCTCACCCGCCCGGAAGTTCTCGCAAGATCTACTCCTCCCCTCTTCTCTCTCTCTCTGTCTCTTTCTGAATACTCTCTATCGGTGTGGACGATCAAATTGACCAAAACAAAGTTAAAAAATGATGTTAAAACACAAAAGTAAATTAATTTGGTTGTCTACAAAGATGCTACGGCTATTTAACTTTTCGAATCGAGCCGAACTACGCGGGTCGCCATTTTGTTTTGTTCTCTCTCTCACTCTCTCTCTCTCCCCTGCCCACAGACAAAATTGTACGCTTTTAGTAGGCTACAAGTACAGTTGTTACTGTTGTAATGGAACGTTTGTTCACGGCACAGAATTCTACAATTTTTCTCTTATCACAGTGTAGAATTCTGTGGTTTAGGGTGAACGCAAAATTTGTTGACACGCGCACCGGGTGAGAATAGCCACAAGACCCGCCTGCACTATTCTCACCCCGGGTGAGAATAGAGGTGGCCAAGATTTTAATAGGCCCTATAGGTATGGTATGACTCAGTGACATTGCATAGGGGAGGACTTCCGTAACGAGCGACCAATATGAGACAGTAGAAGAATAGAGGGGTAGGGTTAAGGTTAGCTCTTCTTTATTACATTTGTTGGGGTGGTCGCTCGTTACAGAAGTCTTTCCTGGCATAGTGTCAAGAGTGCACACGCTTCATTTATGATTTGATCACACACACAGCCTCTTTACCTTTACCACTCGCCTAAATTTTTAAAATCTCAATTCGTACAAACGTTACCTCTCTGTGTTACTGTCTTCTTCTTATTATATATATATAACTCAAGCGGAGCAGCTTTGCTGTCATATGCAGGAGACTCGGAGTTCAATTCCTGACTCTTTCTGCAGTCTTTCTACTGCTACTCCTTGGCTCCTTCTTACTGACTGTCTTTCAGCCACACCCCTGATCTTCTTGTAGGAAAGATCTGCACCTAGCCTTCTCGGACAATGGTGAAAAATCTCAGAAGGCCCGTGCGCAAATTGCGCTCGCTAAAGATCCCTTGGTGGTCTAAAATCGAGTTGGCTTTGGCCACCACCAGGGCAAAATTCAAAATTTCCTACCAACTGAAAAAGTTTGATGTGTCCCGCGCGCTCATTATGACCTTATGCAGTTGTGAGCGCCGTATACAAAACTTACGGAAAAAAAAAAATTCCTGAGTTGGGAGAATTAAATCAAGTCGGTCTTCCTGACCCATCTCAGCCCTGGAGGCCCTGAGGTATGGTCTGCAAAGCCCGCCTCTTAAACCTTTTGATGTAAATTGTATTGTTTCGATGGAGGTGCTAAGAACACGTACATTTATTTTTATATGAATGGAGATGGTGCTCCCTTTATAATGGTTGTCAGTTGCTCTAATGCACACGGATCTCCACGACTAAATCAGACCAGATCAAATCGATTAATCATGATAGCTTCAATGCGCCCTAAATTGACCTCTTATTTGCTGCATCAAATTTAACCCGAAAGTCTTTTTGGGCCTTTCACATTCCATATATATGCTAACAAAAGACCTGGCCCTAACATGTATTTATATATAGTTATAAAGTTAGTAGCCTTCTGACTGAATGTTTTTTTTTAGATCAGATTATCCAAAGTATCTACTGGTGACTGAAAATTAAACACGATATTTTAAAAGTTTTATCCAATTTCACCAAAATGTAGCTTTTGCCCCTCAGTGAAAGAAAATGTGGCTGTCCGCAAATTTGTTAGTGACATCAAAATGGGCAATGTGCTCTGGGTATTTAGTTTGCACAAGGACGTAGTCATCTTGTCATCAATAGGCCTGTTTGGACTGCAGTTTTGTGTCTTTTTGGTTGATTAGGATTAAGTTTAGTTCAATGAAAGCAAATATTAATCATTCCTGGAGAAAATGCCACATGTTTCACTCAACTTATCAAACTAAAACTAAAATTATAACAGTAAACTTTGACCGCATGATCTGAAACGCAGATATATTATATCTTGTTTCCTTCTTTCTTTGTTTTAAAAGTCCAGGTCTCAGCACCGTACATATGAGAAAATGGGGAAGATGTTGCACTCTGGCAATTTCTTACTCTTTCCGGACGTAGTTGTTTTGAGGTCTAGACGTAATTGACTTGTGACTCGATTTGGCTACACTGGTGATGTATAAAAAACATCATAGTATAAGCATAACCATCACTCAAAACGTAACATTTGATATATCAAATTGAAGGAAATTTAATAAATAAGGAATACACATTCCAACATGAAACAAGGATTAATTTTGAACATAAGTATGCATTACAAGGGTTATAATTGGCAATGGCGGTGAGAAAAATACGTTTTGACGGAAAAAGTTACACTCACTAAACATGTGAAAGCGAATCAGCATAGCTATCTATCATGTATAGGGCCAAGAGCCTAATCCTATAAATTTCCTAATGTTCAGCTTTTTATTAGAATGTAATATTCCAATTTTTGTTTGAGATATGATATTTGTACTTGGTATGGTTTGATCATTTTGTTGATGCAAGACCGCAAGGACTAATTCTCTCTTTTTTCGCCAGACCGACGCTTTGACAAAGTGAAACTAGATGTTTTCGTTCCTTAAACCCTTTCCAAGTTTTCAATAACAATAAAAAGTACTTATAATAGAATGGTTCATGTTAAAATGAAATAAAACTGAGGCACCCTGTCATAGTCGATATAATGTCCGCAAGGGGTGTGGACTCGTGCCGATATATCGGCGATTCGTCCGAAAAGAGTTAAAGGCACTCTGGCGATGTGTAAAAAAATAAAATGATACAATATTCCAGTACTGTGTTTATTTAATAAACCATTTTTAAAATATCTTTCCAGGACACTTGTGGAGCCTGTCTATGTCCGTCGTAGCCGAGCGGGATGTCTGTCACCTTAACTCTCACAGAAACACAAGTTCCTAATGGGAAAAATGTTGAAGACACAAGGTAAGAACTGCCTTTTTAAATTTAAAATATTGGCTTCTACCACTACCGGGATTGACGTGAAGAAAGCATTTTCTTGTACTCTTGCACTTTGTGCAGATTTTGAAAATCATTTTCATAGTGGAGTATTGAAATAGGAAAAATAGAAAGGAAATCACCCCTTTGTGTGTGTATGTTGGCTCTATCTATGCTTGGCGTCAAAAGAAAACATATCACGAACATGTCGGCTGACTCTATGATACGTCTCTTTTCTCAAAATGGTGTATGGCGGAGTCTTTGAAGCAGTGTATATATGTGATATTTTTTCCGTGCTAGGAGCAATTTAAGACTGACTGTGGTCCATTTAGTCCTTGACCCAATTTGATTTGAAGTTGCTTCCTGAATGTTTTTCTTTATGAAAAATGAAAGTGAAGCCCCAATTCAATTAATTCTTTTTTTTTAAAAAGCTTAATATTATGTAAACATTATCCAAACTTGCCATGTCTTGTGTGCCTGTTTTTATCAAAAGCAAGTTTATGCATTCTTAAAACTTTGAAGAATTTGTTGGATGTTCTGACAGAACAGGTCTCATTGGGATCTATTTAACTGTCCCCCAAATTGGAATAGAAGCTAGAGCCAATCTCTGCCTTTTTTAGCTTAAAAGAAAGTCATTATTTACTTCATTTTCCTTATCTGAATAACGGGATTGACAGCAGAATTATTTGATTATACCTCATTCGTGGTGTTTTAAGACTTGAAAATGGCTTTTAGTTATTTTTGAGAAGTAGTACAAGGCCAAGCAGCAGAATGTTTCTTGGTGGTAAATATCTCTATGGAAATTTCTCTGACAAGTTTTAAAGAAATGACTGACATTTATGACCATGTTTTTTTTTTAGCCGTAGTATTATGCTGCAACAGCCATTCAAAGCTCAAGGGTTGGAGTTTTGTAGGTTTCTTAGTTTCTGTCTCACATCCAATTTTTCAAATTTTCCTTCTATTCTATATTCCTTATGATAAGACCAAGCTGATTGTGTTAATACTTTATAATAATAATAATATTAATAACTAGCATTTGTATAGCACATACCCCCGCACAACAGCCAGCCCTAAGCGCTTTACACTATATTATTACCCCAGCAGACCATAGAACACTCAGAAACATTCTCAGTTTCCGGGGAAGCATACAGTGCTAGCAGCTGATTAAGCGCTCAAACACTAACAAACTGACAAGATCTTTTGTTGTCTATAGCTGTGTACCCATTCCCACCTGGGTGAAGTGAGGAAAATTCGTGTAAAGGCCACTAAGCCACCGACTCCACTTTATTAAAAAGCGAAACAAGCAGAATGAACCACCTTTCTATTGCTATGTTCTTGCTTATTTATAGAGATACACAGTTAGTCAACATCTGATTGAAGTGATTGTGTTGTACAATAGAATATAATAGTGATGTATGTACATTTCAAGAGAGGAGTATTTCGTTTTAAAAAAATGACAAATCCCATTTAGTCTACCTCTGTTGTTTGATATATATAATGTGGAAATATTTTGATGATGATTAAGGGTCCTTGAGAAACAGAGGAGAAAAATTACATCAGAAGTCAAAATTTGTTCCTGCTTCATTTCTGGCTTGATGATTGTGATCTGACCTATTTGATTTCGTACGTCTATGATCCAACACGACTGCGATCATGTACCATGCAGATATTTTTATAATTTATACATTCTTCTTAATTCACGAATTCATTATTTTTTTCCCTACTTTTAGTCTCGTTCACATCAGATCAAAGCAAACCGACTGTCAAAGCCATCTGTGCCTAGAACCGTATGATAGGATTATTCAAAGAATTATACGATCAATTTTTTACACAGGGTTTCAATTGCACATATCTGTATCTATTTGTCATTTTCTATTGTAAGAGACTGAGAATAATTTTTTGGCTGTATGTCGAGAAAGGCACATTTATTTTGAATCTTTATGAAGATTTTGAAGGTACTGTGGTTAGGCCTTCATTGATTGTTGGCTCCCACTTATACTGACAGTTTGTAACTGTTGGTCACATTTGGTCGTCTGCCAAAAGGTGGGCTGAGAGTGAGGAGTAGGGGTTGGTTAAGGCTGAGGTGTGGTTGTCTGTTACTGTATCTTGGCATTTGTTCATTTTGCCAGAATGTCGCAGGTTATTTGTGTGCGCCGAGAAGAAATATATCTGTCTCTCTCAAGGTTTGTGTTTTGCCTAGAATATAATATTTCTGATAGATCAGCAAAGTAGAAGTAAATCTGTCTCTCTCAAGGTTTGTGCTTTGCTCAGAATATATTCCTGATAGATCAGCAAGTTTTGTTAAGCCTTTGTGAGTGACTTGAAGTGCAGATTATCAGTTTTTTTTTTTTTTAAGGGTTTGTTTTATTTTGAGGTATGCAAGGAAGGAAGCAATTAAAAAAGTCAAACCTGTCCAAGACAATCACCCATTATGGAAGAGAACAGTAGTCGTCTTAGGCGTGTACATTTTGGACAGGTGGTGGTTAGAGCAGGTTAATATTCAGTGTTTCTTTATTTCTGTGAATGGTTTCTCAGACTCACATCCCATGAAGTGGAGAACGGACACAATGTGGAGGAAGAGGAGGAGGAAAGAGAGGCCGAGCTAATCATGTTCGACAATACAACACAAGGCTTGGGTACGTTGGGATTTTGTACACACGTTTCTTAAAAGTAAAGTGAACCTAGAGTAATAGAGAAAGCTGAAGTGGATATTGTGTCCTTGATTGGAAACGTGGTAGTTTGATTTTTTATTTTTTTTAATTTTTGCACCTTAAATTTGTTATGGATGAAGGCAGGTAATGTTTGTTCCAATCACTGTCTTTTTTTAGAATTGTATAAATTTTAGCAATAACTGCTCTGTATTGATGCTTTAGTTAAAAAACATTTGATATTGTGTCAAAGAAATATTCTTTTACTGTTTGTCACGGTAATGATGTATAGAAATTTATCCGCCCTGTCAATTTTTTCATGAATTTTGAAAACCAAGTGTCTCTTAGTATTCATAATAAAAGAATCCCTTTTTGTTGAGTATGTCTTTTGCAAAGATAAAAATCCTCTTTAAAAACGTTTTTTTTTTAAATTTTAAAAAGTGAAGACGGTGTTAACCCTCTGACCCCCTACCATTTTTTGACCCACAGGATTGAAGATATGTGGTGGGTGCAGTACAGATGGCAGAGAAGTTTATGGGATATTTGTGAAGCGAGTGCTCCCGGGAGGGCTGGCAGAACGTACAGGTATGCTGCAGGGATTTTTTTTGGTGTCCTCTCACTTTTCAGACTTCTTGCTTCAGTTTATAAAAGTTTTACAGCACTGGCAACGCAATAAGGTCATATAGGCGCCCAACTTTTCAGTTTTCTAAATGATATTTTCTGTGATAGTTGAATACAAGAAAATGATTTCAGAAATGTCTTTTTCTGTACAATTTTCCTCACAATTTGTGTTACAAGTATGTCTTAAATATTTTCAACTGTAAATTTTATTGTCTTCTGTGAATGGTCTCGTTATAGAGATGACTGGGTCATTCACTAGTAAATTTTTAGTAACCCTTTGATTGCACTGTAAATGTATCTCGTACCTGTCAAAACCCTACCACCCAGTGCTCAGTAAAAGTGTCCCGTAGTGTGGCTAAAGCCGGTGTTTTGTGTCGTTTATATATCAGTTTCTAATTAATTTTGAGAGAAGAGAGTTAGACATTACATGAAAGACTTGTCTCATAGAATAAGCCAACAAATGTCAAGTAAAGACCATGACCTGTGACCTATAAAGCGCAGTGGAATTTTCCTTAGCATGTGGGGTGCTTCTACTGTTACCAGTCAAGGGGTTAAATCTTTTTATCGTTTCCTGTTGGCTCCAAGATTTGAAACTCTGCTCTCTACTTCTTGGCTTCTGCTTTTGCTGTACATAAACAAAGCAGAGCTTGAAAATGAATGAGAATTATTATTATGTGAATGACAGCCAATTTTGTTAACTAATAGTTTTATCAACACATTGGTGTACGTTTGCTATTCATAATATTTGAAAGGAAAAATCGACATTTGTCTTACATTGGCAGATCATAATACAGAACAAAGAAAGACACCACCATTGCTGTAAATTTTTATGTGAATCATTAGCTTCTAAAACAACAACAAAAAACCCCAACCCAAAAAGGCATCCCCCCCCCCCTCTGCAATACAGTCAATACAATTTATGTCATATTTCTTCAGGTGAAGTTAGCGATGGCGATCTCATCCTTGAAGTGAATGGGCAAAGCATGGAAGGAATAACATACGACAGGTGATTACTCTACTTTTTCTTATCTACCGAGATTTACAGTTTATATATAGATGGATCGTGGGTTCAATTCCTGGTTCAACAATGAGGGCTCTGGTGATTTTTTGATTGTCTTGTTTCTCTTCAACCTCTTGGACCCTGCAGCAGGCTTGACTATTACCTAGAATTCCCAGCGACTGTCCCAGATTTGGCAGTCGAGAATAACTTAGGAGGGATATTTTAGCCTCCACTACTTCGATGGGCCAAATTTCGAAACTTCTGTTCTAGTGTTTGTCGGCTACTTGCATTTGTTTCGGTGAAATGACTGTCTGCATATTTTCAACTTGACCCACGTGTAACTGAATTTCACTGGAACTGTAACCTTATCACACACACCACACACCAAAACCTGTTCAAAAACTAGTCTCACTAGACGTAATGTTGTTAAATGATGGTAAATGTCCCTGACTGGGTTTTGAAAAAGCTGGCAAGCCTGCATCAAGGATAAGCTTTGTGTCTATATTGCCTCATAGGCCATCCC